TCTAAGCGATTTAGGATGCAAAATATATTTTTAGGAAAATTTTCCTTATTAGCACCGTATTGAGTATTTCGTTCTTAGTAATGTTTTCCTTATTGCCTAGGACTTCTTCTTTTGTTCAGAATTTATAGAATGGCGGGGAAATAAATAATTTAGAAAAAGTAGGACCTTTTAATTTTAGAAGAAAAAAGAGAGGCTTTTTGGCAGCTATTGTTTGGAATTGCGACTAAAAGTGTACTTTTTCCTGGCCATTGTACATTAGCCGCTACTATATTGCCTCACATGAATACATTAACGGCTATTTGCTTATTGCCGCAAAATAATTGTCGCTAAAGTTCATTTTTGTAGTAGTGTCATCAACACCCCCAGCTTAAACTTTTGCTTGTCCTCATGTAAAACTCAAGTTCAGCAGTTAAAAAAGGATCTCTCAATAGTGCTACACAAGACTCAATCATGAATGTACACACAAGACTCAACTTACTCATGCAAGGATCAATTGTGTACTCAAAGAGTCAAGTTGTGACACACCATTATCAAAGATTCTCAAGCGCACTATACTTGCTTCAAATGCAAGTTCAATCTCAACAAAGGTAGTCACATGCCCTCACACAAAAGAATGATTCAATTTTCACACACAATGGTTTAATCATTTAACGTTTCGGATTCAAATGCAACTCTCACACTCACAAAGATGAACATAATGCATGTTTTCACCCATAGGTTTTCCCGTATTTTCCAATCAACATTTGCTTCAGCTCACTCAAGATCAAAAAGGTCTTTTAGGCTCAGTGACTTTTATCCTCATAAAATGTAGTGCTCACAACACTTCCTTTCCTCCTCTTTCATCATTTTCTTTACTGCTCATAAGTCATCCCATTATTCATTTTCCATGGATTGTCATAACTTTATTCGATGACATTTTCTTTTTCATTTTTTTTTCTCTTCCATTTTTTTTTGTGTATGGAGGGGTTCCATTTTTTTATTCAACACCATGGGTTAAAGGAGACTTTTCTTGCACTTATTGATTTTCCCTTTTTCTTTAACCACATCCCCAACTTAGGCTTTTGGCCTAAGTTGGCTATTTAATCAACCACAAGATCATGAGGATTATGGATAATAGATCAAGAGAGGTTACGTTTTCATCAAGTTTCTTCCAAATAATGGTAAGGCTCAAGGAGTGTTCAAAAGAGGTTCACACACACTCACAAGGTAGGCCACAAAAGAGGTATATGTCAAATTGGCTCACACTCTTCGATGTTGCTTAAGATCATATAAAGAGATAGCATCACTTCTTCAACCGGACCAACGGGGAAAATTCTAGGTGTCATCATGCAATGGTTCACGGTAAGCTCATCACACAAGACATTGAAACCAAACTCAAACAAGACTCCACACTTTCTCTAGTATGCAACATTCATCACAAAAGACTCAATTCGATAATTGGCTAGTCACAACGAGATGCAAAGAGTTCACATATTGTCTATGAAGCTTCAATTGGCCTAGTTATAGTTGCACATTCATGTTCGTTCGATTATGAGAATTATTTGAGTCATCGATATTGATCAAAACTGATATTCAAATTTGCAAGAGAACAACCACATTCAACACATAGAAGAGGTGGAAAAAAATTTGGAAGGATCAAAAATCATTTACAATTAAAGCAAAGAGCCACAAGCTCAAACATCCACAGAAAGTAGTGTATAACATAATATTAAGCATAATGACCCATTATATGAACAAAACAACAATACATCACACAAAGGTGGGCCTCACCCTACTACAATTAAAAACATTTGTCCTCAAATGCAAACAAGATTATCTAAAATTTAACATAAAGAAAGACAGAGAGGGGGGTAAAGAAGGGATCCTGTCTACGCAGTCTCTCCATATGTCTAGGCCTCAGTGCCCGATTCAGCAGTCTGGACTTGGGCATCAGTGCCCGGAGTCACCTCAGAAGAGCCAGCTCCACCAGAGACATCAAAAGATGTATTTGCTAGGGAAGCCTGCACAGCCGCATCTATCATGGTTGCTTCAGTCTCAATCAGGTCCTCATCCGCAGCTCTCTTAGTCTCCTCAAGTATCTCTTCATCAATCTCCGGTTCAGACTTGGCTGCCTACTCCATTCTATCCTCATTTCCAGTGGTAGTCGGAGGCATTTCGGGCAAATCTGGAATCTCCACTGTTCCAAAGACCATGGACAGATCGGTGGATTTCAACTGATCCACATCCTCCCGTAACATAGCTATAGAGGCCTTTAAGGTCGTCACCTCTCTTGTGGTTCCTTGGTAATGCTCACACACCGTTATTCTAGCCTCGAGGGCATTAATGGTAGCTCTCAGTGGTGTCACAACATCAGTCAAGGCAGTCTAAATCATGTCTGGAATAGAGGTTTCTAGTCTAGCAGACCGACGATCAGCAGATTGGGTGAGCTGTCCCATCTGGAGTAATGACGCATCAGTGAATGGAGTCTGGGAGACAGCAACAGTAAGTCTGGGAGGTAGCGCAGCAACAGAAGAACATGGAGTGTCAGCAAAAGTAGCAGTGTTTTTAGATATACCTGAAGGTCCAGGGGCCAAAGTAGGCAAAAATGCCTGTGCAGGTATGAAGTTTGTGACTCCAACTGGGGAGAGGTCCACCGGGGCTGGTTTTTGCATTTTCTCTGTCTGATCCTTAAGATATTCAGCTTCGATCCTCTGGATATCAGTGGATGATGTGGGGATTATTTCCACGTCCTTCTTCGCATTTTTAGGTACCTGATCTTGTCTCCACAGCTCGGTGATCAATACCAGGAAGGGGAGTGAGGTCTGGCGCTGTTTGGCTCTCATTGCCATTTCTTGCTCAACGATCATACCCAAATTAATTCGCTCCCATGCAATGATCATGCCAAGAAAAGCTACCTTAGAGTGGCGAAGAACAGACTCATTCTGGGATGGAATTACAGTACTGCTAATAAAGCCAAACCAGTACCCTGCATCTACATGCATGTCCCTTTTCATTATCGGTGTCCCTACCTCTAACAACTTTGATGTGCCATCACAGATAAGAGGAGCCAGCCAATTTTTTATTTCCTCGAATGACTTAGTCTTCATTCTGTGTTGGTGAGGGTTGGCAATATTATTTGTGCACTCCAAAATTGTATTTATCGTAGTGCTGTCACACAACACTTTCCTGCCCCAAACTACCACATAGCCAACATATTTGAGTGTAGCTTCTTGCTTCTTTGTTTGTGGTATCAAGGTTCCATAAAAATCGTAGAATTCCCTTACACAATTTGGAATATATGGGCTACAGGGCTTGGTGAGGATATGGAAATCATGGTTCTTGAGACAACTCATGATCCCTGGATACCTATCGATCACTCCATCTGTAGACAGACGCTTCTCCTCAAGGATCGTCCACAACCCCTCAGTCTTTAATTTGTTCATTGACTTGGGAGGAGGACCCTGTATTGGTGGTGCAAGTACCTTTACTGGCTCTGGAACTGGATTAAGAGGGGTAGTTTGAGTAGTCCAGATCCTAGATGGATCATTCAATGTTATGGATAGTAGTTCTGCCCTGCAAGCTACTACGAGCTCATCGTCATTAGACTCTATCATCTAAGTCTCTAGATGCTCCCCTTCACTCTCAGAAGTGGTGAGGTAAGTGCCATAGATGCCATCACTATCGAAGCTTGCCTTTGGTGATGCAGGTGCCTTGCATTTACCCTTGCTTTTCCCACCAGTTGTGCGGAGTTTTGTGGCCTTGCCCTTGGATGCAGCTGCATCCTTATTTAGTGTAATCCCTTTTGCTTTCCCTTGGCGTGGCATGTTTCTCCCAGAAACATTAGACCTAGCCATGTCTGCAATCACAGTGGGAAAGTTAGATATACGTTTATTACATTCACAGGAACAATAGTTTGCAGATAGACTCGCAGAACCAGTCGGCGAGTCGCCAAATAACTCTAGCAAACTAGTGCAGGCTCGCAAAAAGAATGGCTTAGAATATACACAGGTTGGCGATAGGAAGGGCCTTTCAGCGATTAAGAGGCAGCCCGCCAAAAGTTATAGTGTAACTTAAGCTACATGTGTGCGGACAAAGGTTGATCAAGAATACCTTTGGTGAATCACTTAGTGCTTTTGGGGATATCAGGCTTCTCGCCGAAAGTTACAAAACTAATAATCAAATAAAACATGAAATTAAAGGCGAGATGGGGACATTAGGCGAACCGCCAAGTGGTTTGGCGAGCTAGACCCAACTCACCAAACGGCCCAATGGACCTATTTTCAACCCAACTTCTCAAATTCAACCCCGTAACCCCTAAAACAAAAAAATCAATTCATGCACAACTCAAATTAAGACTAGACCCATATTATCCATCAACGTTCAAGGACAACCCCAAGAGATTTTAATTCATTTTACGGTATAAACTTACGGGATTACCATCATAAAGAAACTACGGGCAAGATTGTCAAACTAAAACATGCAATCAGGTATAGTGATCTTGTCACAGAGATCCATCACAATTCAACAGGAAAAAATTGATTACATAAGAGTAAAAATACTACAAGTAAAATGCAAGGTTTGGAAAACTTACCTTTTCGGCTGATTAAAACAAGACTGTGATGCTAGACGGAAAATTAATACATATCCAAGCACCAATCAATCAACCAAAATACTTATAGAGTGCAGAAATATTTGCAAAACTAAGTAGGAACGAATCTCCGAAGGTCGAGAGTGAGGGAAGATAAAAAAGGTTGAAAGTTTAAACCTTTGGCTTTATAAAAACTATCACTACAAGAAAAAGGCTTAGTAGGGACCAATAAGTAAGTACAAGTGAAAAATCTGGTCCCCATAGGTATATCTATAAAGACACGATTTTCTACTGGTCCCGAATTCTCGTTAAATTAGGGAAGAGAGCAAAACTGGTCTAAAAAGTAATAATTATCTAGTCCCAAAAATAGCAATGAGAGTTGGGATCAAATCGAAATAACAAGTTAAAAAATATTTTATTATATAATCCCTCTTTCTCTCTCTTTAATATACAATCCCTCTTTTTCTCTCCCTTTTCACAAATAAACCTCTCCTCGTCAAAATTAGGCTCTTTAAAACCCTAAATACTTTTCAATACACACTACTCTAACCCAGGTGAACCCTCTAGTTTTAGAAAGGATATTTGCGAAAAGTTTAAATTGAACACGATTTGTTTACTCACGGATTTGTTGAGCATGAAAACTACAAAAGAGAGGTAATTCCTTAGTTATCAACGATTTTCTTCTTCTTTTTCCATTAAAATTTGTCTTCTATGTGATTTTTTTAATGGTGTATATATTGTATTTTTGTGATTTATATGTGAAAGAGTGGTGAGGGTTTGTCAATTTTAAATTCCAAAACTCATTTAGATATCATTTTTTATTTTGGGAGGTGGAGAAAGCATTCTTCATTTTGTTCTTGTGGTCATTTCGGGTTGTTTTGTATTCTTTTAGCAATTACATACTTTTCAGTTCTTGCTGATAAAATTTTCAACTTTTGTGTCAAAGATTTCTTGCCCAATTGCGATTTTGAGTATTTGGAGTTTTTTCTAAGCTTTGGGGAAGTGTGTTGATTTCACTGCTCTTTTGGGGGTTTCCTAATCAGGTAAATATGTTCATCTTTTCCTTAATATCATTTAAAACTAAAGGAGAAGAAGAAAGTGTTAGTAGTAACAGTGTGGAGTTTTAAATTTTTCTCTAGCTTTAATTAATCATTCTTATAATGTGGATGACATAACTAATGGCTTGGTTTATGTTGCTAGCTATTAAAATACTAGCAAAATTATTCTCTCATTGTTTTATGTCCAGGTCTGCTTATTTATTTACCAAATGCATATCTATCAGAAAGGAATTTGTAGCCACAAAAGTGATTTGTCACCACAGGTAGTTCAGTTCTATCAAATTGTAGTCATGAAAGTTGAAGAGTATCTACGAATTCAAGTTTGTATCCTCGATTGAAGTGAACTTGAAATTCTTTTTATGAAATTGAGGTTAGTTTATTAAGCAAGGAACTAAAATTCATCCTTGAATTTTAGAATTATGGATTGTGTATATAGTATATAGTATGTAGTTGTACACTGTTTTAGTTTTGATTTTGGTTTTCTAGGATATGAATTGAAATTCATCTTTGCTCATTCTACTGTGATGAAATTCAGTTGGAAAGTTGAATACCACTTCTTATTACATATAATCGAATTAGAGGTTATGTTAAATTCCCATTGTTGACGATACTAGGAGCTTCATCTTGAGTTGGGAAAACTAAACTATGAGTTGAGTGAAATAGCTTCTCTAATTGTCATTGGAGTTCTAATTCATTGTTTCTTATATATAATGGAATGATGAATAAAAAAAAATCTGAAAAACAGAGGGTCAAAAATTTAGTGTTGATTTTCGAAGGGAAATAATTATTGAACGATCTGAAAAATAGAGGGTCAAAAATTTACTGTTGATTTTTTAAGGGAAATGATTATTGAATGTTGGACTACTTGTATAATTGTTTAGATTTTTCTCTCAAAGAATGATTTACTAATTCAATAATTGAGGTACATTTAGAGCTGAGAACTGATAAATATTTTTATAAAAAAATTTGATCTGTAGCTTCTGTTTGATAATCAATTGATAGCTTCTTAAACTTGGAGCTAAGAATTCATTAACAGCATTTGTTTGAGAATTGATTAATTGCTTCTGTTTCATAATTGGTTAATGCTTCTGAAACTTGGAGTTGAGAATTGATTAATAGCTTTTGAAATTTACTTTTAAAATGGTGCTTTGTAAGACTATGATTAGTTGAGTGAAAATTCCTTTTTTCAGTTTATCCGAAAGAAACTATTAGTTGAGTGATCATTTGAGAAATCTTCTCAATCTAGCATATTCTACGCCATCTTTTGACTAGTGTGAGAAACATATCTTCTTCAATTATTGTAGAAACTCATCTTATGGATGTAAAATGGATACGCGGGTTCAATAAAGATGTAGTTTTTTCTTATACTGTCATACATATTCACAAAATCAAACAATAAAACAACCTATAGAGCCTACAACCTGAATAAGATAAAATGATTTTTTTGTCTAGCAGTAACAAGATAAAGTAGTGGAAAATTTCAATAGCATATAACAGTGATCATCGTTCTCGACAGTATATTTGTTGTTGGAAATAATTTATCTTCCTAGTCTACCTTCATTATTTTTTATTAATACTATTCTACTGACTTCTACAACAGAGTGACTACGACTATCACTTATATTTGGTATATTTTTATGTATTAGTTTCTATATATTACCATTGTTCTTTGTTTCACCTTCCCACTGTTCTATTAATGGTTACTGTTATACATCATATTCATTCTTACAAAATTTCATCTATCCTTTCTTTCGAAGTTTCTAATAATGAAAACTTTTTGGAAAGAATTAAGTCTGTTTTTCGTTATTTATTTGACTAGTGTAGTACACATACAAGACTCCATATATGTCATATCTCCATATTCTCTTAATAAGGGTCTATACGACTAACAACAACAAACAAAATATATTTCGTAGTAAGATAGTAACTACGGCTCCAGAGAAGTTCACCCGCTATTTGTTTACACAACTCTAGTTACACTTAGAGAAATTGAATTTTTTGTAGATAATATGAGGGGTAACAACAATACACATATATTCTCATATTGTGATGATTATGAATTTCAACTTTAAATAAATCTAGTTGGTTGAATAATATCTCAGAATATTCCAACATTCTCATATTGTGATGATTATGTAATTTCAACAACACACATATATCTTATGTTGGATATTTACCGGTGGAACAAGTATGATTTTACTTCAACTTTTCTTCTTTATTATTTGTACTTATTTCCATATTGAATGAGTTCTATAACATAAGAATACCAATATTTTATTTGAATGAGCGGAGGAAGAAGGTGTTGGTTGTAAAAGTGTGAAGTTTTATACTTTTTCAGTAGCACTATGTAATCTTCCTTTTTCTCTATTCTGCTCAATTTTTTTCTCTGTTGTGCTCTATTTTTTCTTTGATTTTTCTATTTTTTCAGTATTGGTTATGAATTTATTTTTCTTGAAGTGAAACATTATAGTGCTAGACAGCAGTGTGTCCACTCACTATGAGATCTGAAAGGTGCATTTCTCTTGATAATACAATAATTATTTTATCTGGTGAAGAAAATAGACTCTAAAATATTTGAATTACCATTGCTCATTTTCTTATAAGAATTAGACTTGAATATTTCATTTGATTTTATTTCCTGATTGTATATACAAATGTGGTGTTGATATGTACAGGTTCAAGATGATAGTCCATGTTTATTCTTCACCAGTTACAAGGCAAATGGTCCAAGTTGAGTGAAGTTGATTAATGTTACACGGTGAATAGTCCAACCAGCCTCTTACACCAGAGTATGATATGTTCGTGCAGACAAGTTAATGCAAAATATGTTCAATTTTCTCCTTAGTGCCACAAAAGTGTGTATTTCCTAGACTGCCAGTTGATCTATTTTTGGATTCCAACTGATATATTAGTTGACTCAGTTTGAAATGTACTATTAGTTTGACTAGTACAACCAATATATTAGATATATAGTTGTAGAATGTGGAGTTTAAATTTTATGAATATATTAGAGGTAAGGTATGTCCCCCTCGTTGAATTTTGACATGTTAATGAAATTTGCATCAGGTTCTGTAATGTTGGAATCTTGATGTATTTTATGAAAGTTTGATGTTAGTGATAATTTTCTCTATATAAAGTTGATTATAAACTATATAATGTTTAGGTGGAAAATTATATAATATTTAAGGACCAGCAAAAGCTAGTCACTATATGTTTTTAGGCATAAAAAATCTGGGTGTTTATCTTCATTTAGGGAGCAGAAATATGGTCCCTAAACGTATTTTAGGGAGCAGATGTTTTCCGGTCCAGATAAGTCTGTAGGGACCAGTCACAAATTGTGGTCGCAATAGACATTTAGCGACGGAGGCTATAGGGACGGGTGGCGACCAGATATATCTGGTCGCTATGCCCTTTTAGGGACCAGAATGACACTATTAGGGACCATTTTTCTAGTCATTAATGACCATTTTTCTTGTAGTGTATCCAGATCTTGCCCATTCAGCGACACTAGTCGAATTCGCAGAAGTACAAAGAGACACACCGAACGATCACTTACCTTGCCGTGTTTTATAGAACCTTTATTTAAAATGGGGGTTCAAACGTCGAACATCACCAGGATCGCTGTTATGAGCACATACTCTAAATTAACTGTCTTGAGTGCAATGATGGTTTGAGTCGGGGTCGCCGACTTCTTCGGCGATTCGCTTACCGGACCTTTAGCTCCCCAATTCTTACATTTCTCAAGTACTTTCCTCACTTTGTCATGCACATTTAACACACCATTATTCAAAACTAGGCATAAAGTTGTAAAACCTTGGGTTTCCTCCCAAGAAGCGCCTTAGTTATAGTCGTGGCACGACTTCCCCATTCAGTCTTGATTTATGGGTGGAGCCGAGATAAAACATGACCCATTTGGGTCTCTAGTAGCTGAATAGATATGAAATGGCAAGCAGTTATCTCATTCAGCATTGAGACATTCTCATTTATTTATTCAACACCTTGTCGTGACTTTCGACTTTGTGAAGCCTGAGTGAGAGTATCTTCACTATTTTTCCACCGTCATTTACACTTCGCTTCATGTGCTCATGAGAAGGAATGTACCAGTCTTTAATTTTGTTCGGCGCTCCCAAATCCATAATATTTTAGGTCACTAGATCTAGTTGAGTCAACAATGTGGCCAAAATATAGTCCTTCTCAGTCTCTTTGTTGGTCATGGCCAAGTTATCAAGGAGCTGGGCTACCAATGCATAGGGTAATCGTGATAGTTCCCCTAGAAATATTTGGTCAGCCATTCTTCTGTTTTCTGGGCCAAGACTTTGGTAGAAGTAGTCCAATAGCACATTTTCTGATATTCCATGGATTGGGTATTGGAAGAAAATTTGTGAGAGTTGGAAATATTAATTGTGCACTCCAACATTGAATTTATCGTAGTGCTGTCACACAACACTTTCCTGCCCCGGACTACCACATAGTCAACTGATTTGAATGTAGCTTCTTGCTTCTTTCTTTGTGGTATCAAGGTTCCATAAGAAGCGTAGAAATACCTTACCCAATTTGGAATATATGGGCTACGGGGCTTGGAGAGGATCTGGAAATCATGGTACTTGAGACAACTCATAATCCCTGGACACCTATTGATCACTCCATCTGTAGACAGACTCTTCTTCTCAAGGATCGTCCTTAGCCCCTCAGTCTTTAATTTGTTCATTGACTTGGGAGGATGACCCTATACTGGTGGTGCAAGTACCATTTCTGGCTCTGGAACTGGAGTAGGAGGGGCAGTTTGAGTAGTCTGAATCCTAGACGGATCATTCAACTTTTTAGATCGTAGTTCTACCCTACGCGCTACTACGAACTCATCGTCATCAGACTCTATCAACTAAGGCTCTAGATGCTCACCTTCACTCTTAGAAGTGGTGAGGTAAGTGTCATAAATGCAATTGTTGTAGGAGCTTGCCTCTAGTCATGCAGGTGCCTTGCCTTTCCCACCAATTGTGCAGAGTTTTGTGGCCTTGCCCTTGGATGCAACTGCATCCTTATTTAGTATAATCCCTTTTGCTTTCCCTTGGCGTGGCATGTTTCTCCCATAAACATTATACCTAGCCATGTCTACAATCACAGTGGGAAAGCTAGATGTACTTTAAATACATTCAAATGAACAATAGTTTGCAGACAGACTCGCTGAACTGGCCGGCGAGTCGCCAAATATTTTTGGCAAACTAGTGCAGGCTCGCCAAAAGAATGGCTTAGAATCTAGACAGGTAGGCGATAGGAAGGGCCTTTCGGCGAGTCGCAGACAGCTTTCGGTGATTAAGAGGAAGCCTGCCGAAACTTATAGTGCAACTTTAGATACAGGGGTGTGGACAAAGGGCGATCAAGAATACCTTCGGTTAATCGCCGAGTTCTTTCGGGGATATTAGGCTTCTCGCCAAAATTTATAAAACCAATCATCAAATAATACATCAAATTAAAGACGATATGGGGACATTAGGTGTACCGCCGAGTGGTTTGGCGAGCTAGACCCAGCTCGCCAAACGGCCCAACGTGCCTATTTTTAACCCCAGTTCTAAAATTCAACCCCGTAACCCCTAAAATAAAAATCAAATCATGCACAACTCAAATTAAGACTAGAGCCATATTATCCATTAACATGCAAGCACAACCCCAAGACATTTTAATTCATTTTACGGTATAAACTTACGGGATTACCATCATAAAGAAACTATGGGCAAGATTATCGAACTAAAACAGGCAATCAGGTATTCTGATGTTGTCACAGAGGTCCATCGAATTTCCACGGGAGAAAATCAATTGCATTAGAGTAAAAATACTAAAAGTAAAATACGGGGTTTGGAAAACTTACCTTTTCGACTGATTAAAACAAGATTGTGATGCTAGGCGGCAAATTAATCCAGATCCAAGCACCAATCAATCAACTAAAATACTTATAGAGTGCAGAAATATTTAAAATACTATGTCAGAATGAATATGCGAATGTCGAGAGTGAGGGAAGATAAAAATTGTTGAAAGTTTAAACCTTTATCTTTATAAAGTCTATCCAGATCTCGCCCATTTGGCAACATTAGTCGAATTCGCCGAATTACAAGGAGACACACCGAACGATCAGTTACCTTGCCGAGTTTTACAGAACCTTTAGTTAAACTGGGGGTTCAAATGGCGGACATCACCAGGATCGCCGCTATGATCACAGACTCTAAATTGACTGTGTCGTGAGTCCAACGATGGTCTGAGTCCAGGTCACCGACCTCTTCGGTGATTCGCTTATTGGACCTTTAGCTCGCCCATTCTTGCACTTCTCAAGTACTTTCCTCACTTTGTCCTGCACATTGAACACACCATTATTCTAAACTAGGCATAAAGCTGTAAAACCTTGGGTCTCCTCCCAAGAAAAGCCTTAGTTATAGTCGTGGCACGAATTCCACACTCAGTCTTGATTTATGAGGTGGAGCCGGGATAACACATGACCCATTTGGGTCTCTAGTAGATGAATAGATATGAAATGGCAAGCAGTTATCTCATTCACTTTCAACTTTATGAAGAATGAGTGAGAGTATCTCCACTATTTTTCCACCCTAATTTACACTTGGGTTCATGCGCTCATGAGAGGGAATGTACCGGTCTTTATTTTTGTCCAGCGCTCCCAATTCCATAATCTTTTTGGTCACTAGATCCAACTGAGTCAATAGTGTGGCCAAAATATGGTCCTTCTCAGTCTCTTTGTTCGTCATGGCCAGGTTATCAAGGAGTTGGGCTGCCATTACATAGGGTAGTCGTGATAGACCCCCCAGAAATATTTGGTCAACCATTCTTCTGTTTTCTGGGACAAGACTTTGGTAGAAGCAGTCCAATAGCACGTTTTCTGAGATTCCATGGATTGGGTATTGGAAGGAAATTGCCTTAATTTTCAGCCACAACTCATGGATTGACTCACTCTCCAATTGTCTGAATCTTAGGATGTTATACCTAAAAGACATCATTCTCAGAAGATAGAAGTTCATTTGGTCACCATTGGTACCAGACTTTCTCCAATTTCCTATTCAAGATAGCAAAATAAAGAAAAACAAAATTGAAAATTAAGTAAGTGGAACTACAACAAAGAAGAATTTTTTTTTACTGAACTAAAAATTCTCAACTAACAGCACTTCCCGGCAACGGCGCCATTTTGATGTTAGACGTAATCAAGACACAACTTCCAATTCAAGTGTCTACAATCGTACAATAGTAATAAAACCCAACCGAATGGGTTGGGGTCGAGTCCCAAGATAGTGGTTGCAAGAATTAATAGAAAAGTAAAATCAAGTTCTAATCAATCATAGTTATAAATATTAATGAATAAAAACATACTAAATCTAATAGTGACACGAATGTCAATTACCAATGAGGGTTTTTTGTATTCAACTAAAAGACAAAAATAGCGAAAATATAAAGATACGATATAAGGGAGACGGGATTCTTGGGATGTGATATGAATATGGGATAAAATATACTATTGGGTAAATGTTATTGATAGTAAATCGTTGAATATTTGTAACTAAGCTAGACTTTAGTGGGGGTAAATTCTCTCTCGAGCAACTTACACCGAAGCAACTCGGTTTCTCTCAAACACCGAGTTACAGCATTTAAGGACAACCTCTGCCTTAGCCCATTCACTCTCTCGAGCTAAAAGTGTGGGAGAAGGTCTAGGATTCAATCTCTCGAGCTGAACCCACGACGACCCAATAACTACCGGCTATCGATTTAGTAGTCTTAGTTTTAAAACCTCTCTCGCGCAAGCCAGAAACAGTAAGATGAACCCATATTTAAAAATTCACATTTAAAAAACAAATAGACTAACAATAAGTAATACCCAATAGGAAATTTAACCCATATTCAAAAAATCACACCCCAAGAATTGAGGTTTTAGCTAGACATGAAAAAGAGATAGAAATCAATACCAACAAGTGTTTCCATCAAGTGGG